GGCAGAGGAGAACTCCGGCTTCACTTGGGCGGAGTTTCGGCGTCAGGAGGGAACTCTGTTGTTAATTGGGAAGGATTTCAGCATCACGTGGAAGTTGTGCAGAATTCCTGCGTTTCCTGAAAATCTGGCATAGTTCCGGCGTCAGGAAGAGCTCTGGTAGTGGTCGAGGAGGTGAGGAATCTCCTTTTCCCCTTTCTCCTCTTCTTCTTCTCTCTCTTCACTTGAGTCCCTTTGGTGTAGAATGAGGGCTCTATTTATAGTTTTTCTGGAGTGGCATAGCCCGTAAATAGGCGTGAGACCAGGGGCGAATTGGGAGTGTTTTGAATGGACGGCCGATATTGAATCCTTTGATCATGCACCGTTCGTTGGGCATTTGAAGGTCTTAATGATGTCGGAATTTGGCGATCTTGGGCTCGTTGGATTTGTCTCGTCGAGCCGTTCGATTCGAGTATAAGCTCGTCAAAATCGGAGACCGTTTGGTATCTTAAATTGCGGATTGAACCTTCCAACAGCGCTTTGAGCCCTTGATTCTGACTCATTTGGACTCGGATTGGGTTGATCTTTGTGTCGTTGGGTTTGTATTTCCGAGACGCTCAGTTTGACTGTAAGCTTGTTGAAATCGGAGTTCATATGCTCCCGAAATTAGTTTTTGAAGGTTCCAACTAGTTTTTGCCTCGAGATTCGTGCCCGATCAAGATGATTTTGTGATGTCGTATCAATAACTTTATTAACTATATAACTAGTATTACTATCTTGAATAGTTATCTATTATTTAGAATATTAATAATATAATTAGATATTTAATTATTATTTATATAATTAATTATCTAATTATTTTTTATTTATATTTATTAAATTACTTATTTTTTTTTTTGGGAATTTTAAGGGCAAAGCCCGAATATTAAATTGAAATAAGATGAAAAGAGGCTAAAGCCTCCAGATACATAGCAGCTACAAAGAGCAAACAGAAAAAAAAACTATACCGTTGGCTAAAAAATAAAAATTAGGAGGAAATAAAAACAAAACTTTCCCACTAGCAAAGCTATAGAGAAAGAAATTAAACAAAAGAACAGCATAGCGCTCGAGTAGACTCAGCAATCCAGAAGCACGGGCAACCAAGCGTCCAAATAGTCCACAAGCATAAGATGATCTTCAAAAATCCATTATACCTGCCAAAACCTGGAAGGAGAGAGACAGCAAAAGCAGTAACAATCCAGAATTACTGGATACCAGGACTCAGTATACAGAGAATGTCATTTTGGTTTCCAGCCCACCGCCCCTGGTTGCTCGAAAGCCATCCAAGGGGCGCCTGATCTCAGGGAACATCATCTTCCATGGTCGAAAATCCCCATCATATTTTATCAAACAATTTCCTTCCGTCCTCAGAGGAGAGCCAGCAGGTGCTCCACATTTTTCCATTTGCTGATTTTGGTAATAACCACATGCTTAATTCTATGAACAACAGACATAGCACAATGATTGCTAAAATTATATCTCCTTTCATTCCTCTCCTTCCAAATATAATAAACAAAGCAGCAAATGATGAGATAGTAGAAGCATTTAGTTGCATTAGAAATGTTTTGAATGTCAGAGATCCATTCCAGAATATGTAAAAGATTAGGCCTAAGCAAGAGGGCAGCAATATCCGAAATAAGGCTCAGCAGGACCTCATGAGAGTAATTGCATTCAAAAAATAAATGCGAGGTGCTTTCAGGTTGAGAATAACAAAGTGGGCAAGCTTGGATGATCTGTATATTTCTCAATATTAAAGCATCTGCCGTTTTAAGCCCACCAACTAAGGATAACCAAGCCAAGCTAGAAAACATGAGCACATATTTTCTATGCCAAATATACTTATGCCAAAGGCATATGGGAAGATCATGATAGTATTTAAGAAGAAATTTGGAGAATTTACCAAGCGAATTGTCTTCCCAATAAATGTTGGTAGTAGAGGACTCTAAAATTGTAGTGCCACGTATGACGCAGGAAGTAGCATCAGGGATATGCTGTGGAATGGACCATTGATTACCATCAATCAGCACCGCCAATTTGGCATTGGAACCAAAGTTTTGTAACAGAACATTGCCACCAGAAAAATTAGAAATAGAGGAGTTATTACACCAATGGTCCCCAAAAAGAGAGATATTGGAGGAGGCATTGACCTTAAAAAGAAAAGAAGATTTAGCCAACTCAGCAGATTTGCTTATGGATTTCCATAATGAAGAAGCAGAGCCCGAACAAGGTTTCCAAGGTGAGTGATATCTCAGAGATAGCCAGCTGGATAGTAGGGAAGAGCTGTTGTAAATCCTACTAATAATGGAGCAATTGAAAGCAAAAATGATAGCAGGAATAGACGGTAAGCCCAAACCACCAAAACACTTAGGCCTGCAAACTTTATCCCAAGAAACCATTATCAACTTCTTAACAGCCGAAGAGTCCCCACAAAAAAGAAATCTAGAAGAGATTTTCTTTATATGCTTAATAATAGTTTTGGGTATTATAGAACCCCTTATCCAATAGGCAATAGTATTTTGTATAGTGAATTTCAAATATTGGAGGCGTCCAGCAAAAGATAACAGACTAGCTTTCCAACCGTTTAATTTTTTGTTGATACTATCAATCAGTGGCATGAAATCAACCAGTAAGAGTCTCTCAAATGAAAGCGGGATGCCCAAATAAGAGAATTTGTGACTATAATTGGAGATGTTTAAAGCATGACATATAGCCTGATGATTAGCAACAGAACTAGGAAGCATGACAGAGCTTTTATCAAAGTTCACATATAGACCCGTAGCCTCACCAAAAGAAGTCAAAATGCTAATGAGTTTTTGACAGTTGTCAACAGTAGCTTTACCAAAAATGAGAAGGTCATCTGCATAGAGAAGATAAGTCAATTTGAATCCATCAATGTCCACCCCTTCAAAATCCCCTTTATCAATAAGCTCTGAAAGTGCATCCATTACAATACAAAAGAGGTAAGGGATGAGGGGGCAACCTTGCTTCAACCCAGCTGATGAGGAAAAGTAACCTTCTAGAGCTCCGCTTATAAGAATAGAATAATTGACATCATAAATGCATGCCTTAACCCACTCAATGAACTTTCTAGGGAAACATTTTTGGCCTAGACGAGCTAGAATAAATTCTCTAGAAATTGTATCAAAGGCTTTTCTAATATCCATCTTGGCACAAAAGATATTATATCCACCTCTTTGACATTTTAAAGTGAGCAACTCTTTAGCAAGAATAATGTTTTCAGTGGATATTCTGCCCTTTATAAATCTAGGTTGATTTTCTTTAATGATCAAAGGCATGATAGGTTTAAGTCTGTTAGCCAAGACGTTGGCAATTATCTTATAAAAAACATTGCAAAGGGATATGGGCCTAAAATCCGAAAAGGAGGCAGCATGTTTTGATTTAGGCACAAGAGCAATAGCAATTGCTTTCACCCCACTAGGCATATAACCAGTAGAAAAGAATCCCCTAACAGCCTTGCAAACTAACGACCCAAGAATGTGCCAGCCAGATTTATAAAAGAAGAAGTTGTAACCATCAGGTCCATGAGCAGAGGAAGAGGCTCCCGAGAATACAGCTGCCTTAATTTCATCCGTGGTAACAGACAGAGAAATATTTTGAGACATAAAAGTAGTGATATAATTTCCCATAGGAAAATTATTAACGTCACATGCAGCAAGAGAAGGGGGGTTGAACAAAGTTTTGAAGTGGTCAATAATAGAGTTGATAGTATCTTGCCTAGAAGAGGAGCTAATGGTAAAAGCCAAATTGAGGACAGCTTTGTTAGAGCTTTGCCGAGCGCGAATTTTTGCATAAAGGAAATTCAAGTCATCTTCCCCTTGAGTTAACCACTTTGCTTTAGCACGCTGTATAATCCAGGAGGCCAACATATGAGAAAAGTCAACTATTTTCTGGTTAATAGCCTTAAGGTTGGCATTAAGTGTAGAATCAAGAGGATCCAAATTGAGTCTGTTAAGACAATCAGATTGCAGAAGGTTGAGCTCATCCATATTCTTTTGAATAGAAGTAGAATTGAACCAATCTTTACTTTTAATATTGCCTTTGAGGAGTTTTAGTTTGCTGCAGAAGTCCAAAGTGGGGTTTCCAGAAGTGGGGGATGAAAAGATATGTAAAACCAAGTCCCAGTATCTGTCCAATTTAGACCAAAAATTTTTGAACAAAAATCTGTGCTTAGATGAGGTAGCAGTACCTGAATGCAGAATGATAGGGCAGTGATCCGAACCGGTAGGATTTTGGAAGGAGCAAAAGGAGTAAGGAAAAGAAGATTTCCATTCCTCATTAACAATAGCTCTATCCAATTTGATGTGTATTGGATTGTCAAGATGTAGATTGAACCAGGTATATCTACTACCAACAGAGTTGAGGTCATTCAGTTTGAGATCAAAAAACAGATGGTTGAGCTCCCAAAGATTATTTTTAGTCAATTTTGAGATCAATTACTTAATTTAATTCTTAAATAATTACTGACGATTTGCTCCGTTCTTCTGTTCTGCGTTCTTCGTTGCTGTTAGACTGCGAGCTTCGCGTGAGGTAGGGTTTTGAACGAGTCGCTAAAACGTTCTTCGCCTCCTTCGACGACGTCGAATCGGAAGTCGCGAAAGTTCTCCGTTCTCCCTGTTGGATCGAACGTAGCGACGGGAGCTCGCTCGCTGTGAAGGTAACTATCGTTCTCCCTTTCGCGCGCTTCAGCCAAATCCCGTAAATCCGCCGAACTCCAGGTTTTAGTAAATCTGGGATTTACGGAAAAGGAGGGAAACGGAGGATTTATTCCTCCGTGAGATCTACCGACTGCTTAAATCCTGTTTGGCAGGATTTAGCATAAAACTTGCTCAAATCCTGCATAAATCCTGTTGCCAAACAGCCCCCTAGTAAATCTCGGATTTACTTCTTAAATCCGTGAATCTGGGATTTACAATCGATTCGGATTCACTGCTCTCTCAAACCGTTTGGCAGGATTTACGATAAATTCGGCTTAAATCCCCACCAAACAGCCCCTTAATTTGCCGTTTGCAGTTATTCCGTACAAAAGAAGCTTGGAAACTTGCAAGAGAGAAGAAAAATAAAAAAAACAGAGAGTTTAAGATGGAGAATGGAAACCAAGAAATCCCAGAGAATGCCAATGAGCGTATGCTCCTCCTCCTTGATTATGTTTTATATTTTCTTATTTGTTTTAAGGATTTGTAAAGTCCGATTTTGTTTTAATGTTTTGGATTTTATTCTGGCCTATTAGATTGCCCAGGACCTCAGTCCGAGTCCGCTGGGAAGTCTGATGCTTGTGAAGGTTGCCCTAATCAGCAAATATGTGCCACTGCTCCAAAAGGCCCAGATCCTGGTATTTCATCATTCTTCATCCCTGTACTTTGTAAATTCGGAAATGTTTTTGTTATTACTTTAGGTTTGAGCTATTTTAATTAGGTTTTGTTAATATGATACTATGTTTTTCTATCAAACCTTCTTAGTTGTTTTACATGGTTTCTTTTATCTTTTTTTTTTTAAGTCAGCTAATACCTTTTTAAGAAATTAGACCTTTACCGGGCAAGATATTGTATCTTTCTGCTGGTTTCTACTGAACTTGCATATATTGTAATTAGGTTTTGTTAATATGATCCTATGTTTTTCTATCAAACGTTCTCAGTTTTTGTACATTGTTTCTTTTATCTTTTTTAGTTCACTTGTACCCTTTTAAGAAATTCAAACTTAACTGGACAAGATATTGAATCTTCCTGCTGGTTTCTACTGAAACTTGCAGCTGTGTGATTTTTATCTTCTATTTTTATGTATTTCATTCTTTTGAAGAGTTCAGTTAATAGAGAAGCTTCATTCAATGTCGATCTAGGATACCAAAAGTTACAATGGAGCTTATGCCTTTAAACTTGAAAATTTTGCAGAGGCTTCTTTTACATTATGCTAGAAATGTTTGTATTACTATTTTGCTTTGAGTGTTTGTTTCGCTTTATGGAAATTCACTTTTTCTATTAGCTTTTGTGGCTTGATAAAACTTTGTTCTTTTAAGTTTCTGCCAACCCTCATAATTTTACTTGCTAATTGCATTTCCAAATATGTTTGGATACATGTTTTGAAGGATATTAGTGATAAACTCTTAACTTGTTAGGATGGAAATAACATAGCGTTTCTGCCAACTCAATCTTACATGTTTTTATTTTTATTTTCATACATCATAGTTCATCCTGGTAATTCTTTTCTAGGGAACTTTACAATTAGGCAAAGCCACAAAGACATGAGTTCTATAAGGAGATGGAATTAATTGTGGCTAGCATTCCATCGTAATTATTTTTTCTGCCAGAGGCTAGATTAAAAGCTCCATGATTTCATTATGATTTATGCATATGATGGATACGAGATATCTGCAGGTGTCTTTTGGTGGCAGTATTTCAAAGAGTGGCTTTATCAAGCTGCCTTTAGTTGGCTATATCGCAAGGTTAGCAATACTTCAGAAGGTTGGTCAATACCATGGCTGACCACTTCCTTGGGTGTTCCTTAAATCAAGTGACACTAGTTATTCGTTGGATTCAAGTGGTGTTAGAATTTCTTGATCTTTATTAACTGATATAATATATTTAGAAATATATGGTATCTCTCATGATAATGCATTTTTAGTGACATAAGAGAATGAATATACCACAAGCTTATGCATCTCATAAGCAGTTTTCCTATCCCCTTATTCTCATTCTTTCATCTTTCAATCTAGTACCACTAAGGTACCCTTCCTTCAATTTAGCTCTAATCTCTAACTGAAATTTGCCTAAAATCTCTTTTGTTAGATCCGGAATCACCGGAAGGCTTGACCTAGATTTTGCTATCAAATCTTTCTGGAGAACTAAGTGATAGATGTTGACTTAAAGAGGTCACAAGTTTAGGGAGATTCTATTCATCATCTATGCAAAATGATTTGTGAGATGAAATTGGATTAATCAAGCCAGTAAATTTGATAGTGTAGAATGAGGAATTCCTTTGGAGAATAGAAGAGAAAAAGATTTTATTGATTGGAAGGAAGAGAATTACAGAACAAATTAGACGATTGTCAAGCAGTGAGATATATCCTTCTCTCTCACATAGAATACTTAGGTGGACAGTGAAATATAATCCAATTCATAAAATTTTTTGGTTGGATATTTTTAAATTACATTCATTTAAAAATGTCGATGGGGGATTTGATTTGGTTAGATGTTTTTTTATGCGTTTTGAAATATGATGGGTGTCAGCAGCCTGCAGTGGCCAAGGGTGGTGGGAGTGGTGTGGGAGACAGAAATTATGAGCCCTGGATTTGAATGGTTTTTAAATGCAAGGAAAATAGGGCTTTGATATATTTCAAATTCCTCAAAATTTTACTTAGCATTTCTTTTTCTTCAATTCAAACATCAAAAAGATAAATTTATGCAGAGAAAAGTAATGCAGTACACTCCTAATGCATCCAAACAAATGACCCTTTGTGTGATCCTTATGCCCTATGGCCCTGTTTTTAGGTCTCCATGATTCTTTGTTGACTGATCTAGCATAGTTGATGTTAAACGTAATGCATGGAAACAAGAACTGCTTGGGTATTCTTAATATAAGATTATTAAAACTTTGCTAGTTATAGAATTAATGCTTACCCAAGTTAGGTTTTCAAAATTCTCAAGTTGAAATTATGTAAGGCATGCGGTTACAACTAGATTAACGGGACAATATCAAATTGACAACATATAAATAGAGAGTAATGTTATGGTGAGAAACAATAATCCACGGTTAACAAATAGAACTCTTCACCTTGGGTCCCTCACTCACGCTCCTGACGGTGGAGCTTTAACGGAGGAAGATTGAGAGCAAACCGAGCGATGCCACTAGGAGACAAATGGCGCCCAAAGTGTAGTCCATTGAAGAAGTAGCCGGAGGCGGGTAATCCACGGGTTGATTAGTGAGCATGATACTTCTGGACAGTGACTGGGGATATTCTGGGCAGCAATGGACCAATTCCGAATGGACAGGACAGCAGTTTTCCTGGTTCAAAAGTTCGGGACAGCCACTAGAATCTTTCCAGAATTCTGGAATTAGTTCAGGACAGCAGCTGAATTTTTTTTCTGGACAGCAATGGAGTTGTCTAGGATTTCTGGACAGCATGCATGTTCTGTCCAGGGATTTGGACAGCCCGTAGCAACTTTAGGAATGGGGAAAAATCCATGAAGACGGGGCTTGGAGAAGGCAGTTACGGCTGCGGGAGATTAGGTGTTTGATTGGAGAATTAATTTAGGGACAATTAATGGGGTGGGGCTACGGGGAGATTTAAATTCAGCTCCAAGTGGTGTTGGAGGGAGATTAATTTGAAATTTCAAATTAATTCATTAATGACTAGGAGCATTAATTGAGGAGGTAATTGGGGCTGATTTGGTGGAGCTTTTAATTTAATTTGGGAGAGAGAAAAATCAATTAAAGGGGGCCGGCCACATGGAGAGAGGGACGAGCACAATTGTCATAAGTAGAGTGGGGACCACAACTTTAATCAAAGATTTAATTGAAATCTGAATTGATTCTCACATTTTTTTTTAAATAGGAAAGTTTTCAAATAGATGAGTAATCAATTGGGGAAGATTTGAATTTCAAATTTGTGTAACTCCTCTTAATTAATTTCCCAAATTAATATGGCTTAATTAGGAAAGTCATTAAGAGAGAGGAATTCAAAATTCAAAGGGGAGAGCTAGAGGGGGCTGGCGGCAAGGGGGTCCAATGGGTGGCCGGCGGGTGGTGCTTGGGAATGGGGAGTTCGAATGGACTTAGAGGTGGTATTTCGGAGGTGGGGTGGTGGTGGAGATGTGGAAGAACGCCGGAAGTGGAAGATGGAGGAATGAAGAAACAAATACGATAAAAGTAAAAATAACAAACTCACAAAGAGATCGTAAGAACCGCGAATCTTGGACTCTTCCAAAGATTGATGGGTATTGCAAACCACCCTTCTCGGGCTTCCCTCATGAACTCACTAAGAGATCAAACAAGCACAACCTTTTTTTCATTCAATAATTCATTCCCTCATACAATGCATGAGGCCTCCTATAAATAGGCCAAAATGAAACAAAAACTAAAAGACATAAATACCCTCGAGGCTACAATATCAAATGACCACCCATAAGGGTAAAACAGTAAAACTGAAAAATAAAATAAACTACTACATAAAATGACTCAAAATAGAACTCCTGATCGTGGCCGTCGATCTCCGGCGTCTCCGATGTTACACGTGTCAAAATTGCTAACGATGTACTCATCAATAGTTATGCAAGGTTCTGCTTCTGTCCACTGCTAGAACTTATTTAGGCCTTCGCAAACTCAACCCAGTTTGTGTACCACGTTATATGGGCCTTGAATCTTATTTAGACTGATAACAGCCAATGTGGATTTGTGATGTATATACAGCTTGGAGTTCTCTTAAGAAATGTGAAAATCTTTCCTTGGAAGTCATCAAAACTATTCTCACCCTGTACAGAAATACGTTTGTTTTGCTGATGATGATATTTTATCAAAGTTATCAAAAGCCTTCTTGGTTAACTTGTACGGACTTCTAAAGCTGAGCTAGACTTCAATAGCGAACCTCGTGGCTTGATAAAGTGGTTCTTCTTTAGTCATATCTTAGTATCACTTGTTAGCCATTATTGAATTATTTATAACTATATATATTTTTTGGTCTTCTTCTGTCCTGATGCAGTTTACTACGTATGGCTTTTCTCACTCTACCACCGGGTGTAATTTTTTTTCTTCAGTGGGTCATTTTGTCAACAATTATGCTTTTTTTCATCTTCAGTCTTTTTTACTGCTGAAGAGTTTGAAGGAAGGCATCATAATTCAACTTGTATTGCAAAATCTTGCTGTAATTTATGCAGTTGTGCATCTCTGTACTATCATGGACTACTTTTAAAGGTGACATACTAAATTCAACTTATTTGGGTAACATACTAAATTCAACTTGTTTGGATCAGATTTGGTTGCTATAGCTGAAAGAATGGCAACTGTCAAGCACAAAATATTGGTTTTGTCTGGCAAGGGTGGTGTTGGAAAGAGTACAGTCTCAGCTCAACTCTCATTTGCCCTTGCAAGCAAGGACTACCAGGTTGGCCTACTCGACATCGACATATGCGGCCCGAGCATCCCTAAGATGCTCGGCCTGGAGGGACAAGACATCCATCAGAGCAACCTCGGCTGGTCTCCCATATACGTCGATTCCAATCTCGGCGTCATGTCCATAGGCTTCATGCTTCCCCATCCTGATGAGGCGGTCATCTGGCGCGGTCCTCGCAAGAATGGCCTCATCAAACAATTCTTGAAGGATGTGCACTGGGGTGAGATCGACTATCTTGTGGTGGATGCCCCACCTGGGACCTCAGATGAACACATATCAATCGTCCAATTCCTTCAGGCCACCGGTATTGACGGCGCCGTCATAGTCACCACCCCACAGCAGGTTTCTCTAATCGATGTACGCAAGGAGATAAGCTTTTGCAAGAAAGTTGGGATCAAAGTCCTTGGAGTTGTGGAGAACATGAGCAGATTGAAGCAGCCTGTGTTGGATCTCGAGTTCGAAAGAGTAATTATTGAGGGGAAAGAAACTATTGTGGAGGATGTCACTGAGTGGGCTCAGAAGTATATAATAGAGAATGCGCCAGAACTATTGTCACTTTTTGCTTGCAGTAAGGTGTTTGATAGTAGTCGAGGTGGTGCGGCGAAGATGTGCACTGATATGGGAGTCCCCTTCCTTGGCACGGTGCCGATGGATCCGCAGCTTGGCAAGGCAGCGGAGGAAGGGCGATCGTGCTTTGAAGACCAGAAGTGTAGCTCAAGTGCTCCGGCCCTTCTAAGAATTGTTGAACAACTCATTGCTTCTCATGAATAGTTCTCCTTTCTATCTTACGAACTTCTGATTATGGTAGGAGTTCAATTCACACGTGATATGCATTGGGTGATGTGGCACGTCCGAATTGACCTCCGAATGTATTTGAATACCATACATAATTATTTTTAGTTCCAGCGAAGGGCAAGTTTTATTGATGAACTTAGATTTCTATCTACCATGTCAGAGAAAGGAAGTGGGCTTCTCTTCAAGTGTAAGATTTAATTTTATACTTCACATTTTTTTTCTCTAAAAACTTATGATGCTAATGCTGGACAAAAGTTGATCGGATGCTAATTTTAGCTCTTCGAACGGTCACTCCATTGGAGTCCATTAGTTAGAGAGCAAAGCAGATGATTAGGCTTGAAATTGAAAATATTAACAGTAAATAAATGCCCCTCCTGGTTTGTGCAACTAAGGGCATCTCCAACCAAACTCTAAACACTTGAATGGCGTCGCTCGCGAGCTTTAGCCGAACGGTAAAATTTCCTCTATTTGGTTGCGGGCGAACAGACTGTTCATCTCCGTCATTTTTCTATTTCTACCCAACTTGCCGAAGAAACGCGTGGAAGAAGTGAACGACCGTTACCTTCGCAAAAGGGGCAAAATAGAGTTCGATTGGAGATGAATCACGGTATTTTTTACTTTCACGACATTTTTGAGTGAAAAATGATTTTTTTGGTCGGAGATGCCCTAAAACTTCGCAATTGAAAACCTTGAAATAATAAACAACCAAATAACAGGTTTTTTTTTCTTTTGGCAGCTCCTTCTAATTAACAAACACTATTTCACATAACCCAGAACACTATCTACAGATACCTAAGCAAATTAGTTAATATCTTAATCTTTTTTTTAATAATTTTTTAACGTTCAAGTTGGCTGGGAATAGTAATTCTAGAGGCTAGGGGGGGAGAGAGAGTCCAGTTTTTTTTTTTTTTTTGGGACATTTAGGTCATTTAAGGCAAACTCACACACACAAGGCATACACAACTCGAATCCAAGATCTCTTAGTTGGAAGCATAAACTCTCAACCAACAAGTCCAGGTGAGCTGTGTGAGAGAGTCCAGTTTTGATCCTTGAAAACCTTCACATGAAAAGAACCGATCTTGCATTAAAAACAAAAGGATATGGATGGCTGCTTTCCCCAATACTTACATCAAAGGGGAAACTTTGTCTTCTTCACCCAAGCCACGGTCATGGCCTGTTTTGATCCTTTCTCTCTCCTGTGCAGTTTCACCTTCAGCTCTGTACCTTCTCTCTCCTCTCTCTCTCTCTCTCTCTCTCTCTCTCTCTCAAGTACCTGCATCTTGCTACAGAACTGCCACTGAAAAGACTTAAAAAAGATTTATAAAAGATAGAAAGCAACTCAATGAGGAAAGCAAAAAAAGACGAAGAACTGAGATAAAGCAGTTGCAAGCTTTAACCAATTACATTATCCCCTTTTCACAAAGAGATTATTTTGGAACGGATAAGGGGTTCCATTATACCCAAATCTTGTTGTAAAGTCATCTCTAGACTTTGCTCGACGTTCCTTTATCACGGCAAGATCAAGGAGAAAAAGCTTTATCTGATATCCTGGAGTGCTACTGTTTTGCCTACTAGATTGGGGGGATTGGTATACCGTCTATTGATGCCCTTTTTCATGCCAATCACTGTTCTTTTTTATGGAGATTCTTCACAAGGGATAATATGGTTATTGCTTGGTTTAGAAATAAATATATATCTCCTTGGAGACCTCTTACCTCTTCTTCCTCGAAATTCTAGAGAAAGCTTCATGACACTGCTATTTTGATTAAAAGGAAATTTTCTTTTTCTGCTTCCAAAAACTGCAACTTTTCTATGGAATGGGATCATTGGTGCAAAGGAAAAGCTCTTAAAGAAATTATGCCTTATTTTAAATTTGAGAAATGCTTTGTGAACTGCTACACTAACTTCAATGGCTGGATGTTACCACCTTCCACTCCTCACATGCTGTTATCCGAGCTTATGGATTTTAACTTTAGTGAGCAAACGGAGGTTTCCTGGGATGGCTCACTTAATCCTACTTTCTCTACCTTTTACAACAATTATTTTGGATTATTTGAGGAAGTTCTTTGGCACAAATTTATTTGGCATGAGAAAAAGTCTCTCCGATTTTTTTATTATGTTTGGATGGCTATGCTTGGTAAATTAAAAACTGCTGATCATCTTATTATGAGAGGGATTGATGCTTACTCTGTTTGCTCCTTTTGTAGTGATGGTAGTGACTGTCATTCTCATTTATTTTTTACATGTGACTTCTCGTATACTATCATCACCACTCTTTTACCACCTCTGGGGGCCTTTCTTTTAAGGCCAAATATGATGCAGGCCTTTAAGTTTTTTGATGATTCTTTGGATTATTGTATTTGGGAGAAAATTTTTTGCTATTTCACTATTTGCAGCACCATTTACTTCTTATGGCGGGAAAGAAATTCAAGAAGGTTTGAGAATGTTTGGAAAAGTCCATCTAACCTAATCTATACTATCCGTCATACTATTCTTGCTAAGGTTAAATACTGGAAGAGATATGATGATCTTAAAAGTCATTTTGTTATTCTCTTATAAATTCTGGTTGCCGGATTCTGGTTTGGTTGGCTGTACTCTTCCTTCCTTCTTCTGGGTGTTGCTCTGGATGGTGTTTTACTACTAGATTTTAGTGGTTGAGATGATTCATTACAGTGAATGGATGGTTTGGTTAAGTTGTTGCCCGTGGACTGATAATTATGCTGCATCCGTTATTTCTACACTTTTGGGGTGCCTGTATTACTGTTACCTTTACAGGTTGCCTGGTTGTTTTGGTGGATCCCTTCTCTGCGGACCCACTAAGCTGCTGTTGCTGCTGGTTCTCACTTCATGCTTATTGGCGGTGCCTGTATTCTTGTCCCTTTTACAGGTTGCCTGGAAAGATTATTTTGAAAGGACGATGATGAATGCTGATTCTTCAGCTACCCCTTGGACGGTCGTTCTGGAAACCAGGGTTTTTTGTCCTGCCCAGACCCTTCCGAGTTCAGATCAAATACGTTATTGGCAGGACAGCCTGAGTCTTTAATGGCTTCTTAGCCAATTTTGTTTTTTATTACTGTTATGTATTTTTTCTTTATGAACTCCTTAACTTCTTTTTTAGTTAGGGAGTTATAGTTTTGGTTCTCACTTTAGTTGTAACTTTTTTATTAATGAATGGACAAAGCCCCAAATTTTCCCAAAAAAAAAAAACTGTCTATATATTATATACAGCTTTAACTCTTTAACTCTTTTTTTTTAAAGACAGGTGAGGGAATTGGAGCGCCAATGAACAGAGACACAATAACAATATCAAACCTTTGTCCCAACTAAATTAAAAAAGAAAAAAAGAAAAAATTAGTAGTCATTAAAATTATTCTTTTAGCCTAAAAAATGAAACAATTTAATTACTTTTTTTTGTTATTTTATTATTTGCTTAATTATACTTAATAGAAGAAAAATAAATCTATTTCTGTTGTATATAATAAAATATTAAAATTAATCAGAAGATTAAAAATAAACTCAATCAGCAATAAATAGAATATATAAATTTAGGCTTTATTTAGAATAAGTTTTTTAAATATTTTCTACAGTAAATTTTTTAATTATTTTTTTAAATAGCAAAAAAAAATAGTGGTCAAAATCTGTATCATTTATCTTTCTATTCAAATACCACAGAGCCGCACAAAAGTAAAGATTTTGCGCAGTAATCGAATAAAGAGAGCAAAACATCGAAATCTACACTGAAAAATACAAAACGAAATTCAACTACTTATATTCACTCCGATCTTTCCAACCATAAACTACCACCCCCTCCTTCCAGGCAACCCTCCTTCCATCACATCTTTCTTCAACCACTCTCATCGCAACAAAACTTAAAAAAAAAAAAAAAAATCCTTTGAATTTAACCTGCTCCACCCATGAACAGAACTCACCAAGAGGGAGAAGAACAGAGTTTCTCAGGGGAGAACGAAGCAATGTTCGTCTCCGTAGCGCTCACCGACGTCGCCAGCGACGTTCGCGTATCCACCATACACCCCTTCGGCGCCAGCATAGCCTTCAAAGGCAACTTCTTCATCAGCTTCAGCTCTGGCGATCTGTCGCCATACTCCTCCACCACCGCCTTGCTTCTGCCGCTCGCCAAATCAAATACAGGGTTGGATATGCAAACAAAGCTCTCGGCCGCGTCCGCGCTGGGAGACGACGGATGAAGCATGGCATCGAGCTTTGGGGAAGAAAGGAGGAATCTTTTTGGTGCGCGGAGGACTCCATGAGCATAGAAAGGGGAGAGCATGGCGGGCGAAAATTTTGCCGGAGACAGGGAAGGTGTTTCAAGTGGGCATGGTGGGTGAGTGCGGCGGCGAAGGAGAGAGAAGGAGAGGTGGAGGAGGAGGAGGAGGAAGAGGAGGGAGAGGGCGAGTGTGACGGTCAGTACACCGATGGCTATCGTTGGCTTTGCCATTGTTATGCTCTGTCTTCGTTTCTTTTAGTTATTTTAGAAAAAGATAAGGAAGGCAGAGGAGTGGTGAGAGACTGTGTTTGTTTGTATGGCGGGAAAGGGCTTGCCGTTTCGTTTGGGATTCTGGAACGCAGTCAGGCATGCGCGGGAGCCCTTGCTTTCTCGTTCGGGGAGAAAGGATGGGCCCGGCTTACGGGAGCCGGACATGATTTTTATATGATGAAATGTAGAACGTATGATCACATTGATTTGGGAAAAATATGTAGTAAGAGAGAGAGAGAGGGAGAGAGAGAGAGACTAGGGATGTAAGTGAGCCGAGCCCGCTCGTGAGCCGGCTCGAACTCGACTCGTTAACGAGCTCGAGCTCGAGCTCGAATGATTAACGAACTCGAGTTCAAGCTCAGCCTGACTCGACTCGAAAGCTTATCAAGCTACTCGATATAATTATATATATAATAATACCCATCACATGCATTGGTGCTTCTCAAACGAGCTCGAGCTTTTCAAACGAGCTCGAGCTTTTCTAACGAGTTCGAGCTTTCGAGTCGAGCTCGAGCTTGATATTTTCTAAACGAGTCGAGCTCGAGCCCACTAATCGAGCTCGATCTCGATCTCATTAAGAACTAAACGAGTCAGGCTTGATAAGGCAAATACTCGACTCGACTCGACTCGTTTACACCCCTAAGAGAGACTAATGAAACACCTTATAATTGGCTGGCTTTGATTGGTGGGTTGAAAACTGTGGATGGTCTTAGAGAGAGATATATTGATTTCACACCTTTATTCAAGATTTTTACAATGAAGAAATTTTAGTGCCCTTAGATTTTCTATTTTTGACTAGCTATGTTGACTCAGCTTGCTGCTTTTGCAATTCAAATTTAGAAAGTACTTCACACTTTTTTTTTTAGTGTGACTTCTATTTATCTATCATCTCAAATATCATATCTAGATTAAAGGATTTTCTTATGCGATCAAATCTATTTGAAATTATGGAGTTTATTGTTGGGGGAGATAATCACCATTCTTTGAACTTTCTATTCTTATGGTGCTCGGTTTATTATATTTGGAGATAAATGAATGGTAGGAAATTTGCTAATAGTTTTGAGAGCAAAAACACTTCGGCTCTTGATTGTTCCTATTTCTGGTATTGTGATTCGGGACGTTTCTGCTTGGAACTGGCATATTATACTAAGCTTTATCTTCAGATTTTTCTTTTTGGCTGGCGTATTGGATTTAAATGGACTTCGGCTCTTGATTTTTGCTAATGGCTGGAGGTTGGTATTTGGGACAAGGATGATCAATTTGCAACACTCTTCCCCTGGATGGTGACTCTTTGCAACATTATATCCTTTTGATGGCAATTCTCGCAATCGGGGTTATTCCGACTGGTGGGTTGCAAATTTTGCTACTGAGCCTTTTGATTTCTTGGTCTGCCATTTTTTAGAGCTCATAGTGGTTTTAGCCAACTTTTCACATTTTGGCTAATTTTCTTTTTCATCTTCTGTTGAGCTTTTATTATTTTGCTCAACTTCACAGGTTTTCCTTTTATGTTTACTGTTTGTTCTCAATATCTTCTTTACTTGTAACTATTTTATTATAATGGAATGAGCTTTGCCCTTATTCCCCC